GTTCCACCTTGGTATACATGCCTTTTGTATTATTTTTAAAATCTGTTTGCTTCAGTTAATAATGAAGCTTCTATTAGATGTTCCAGAGAATTAAAGAGCTTCTTTAATTCTGCTATTTTTTTGGCAACAGCCATCCATGTTGATAAAATCTAGTTTTGCCCAGTTAGAAGATTAGGTGATTTCTAAAGGCCAGAGAGATGAACTTGTCGTCAGTATTAAATTGGTAACCATGATTTTCTTCCACTGAATGTTGGTTTGTTGGTTTGTTGGTTTGTTCAGCAGTTCTAAATGTAACTTCTATTAATTTCCATTCTATTTAATTTAATTTGATTTAATATTAGTTCCTGAAAGCATGCTGAAAGATCTTATTTTTTTGTGTTTGTTCTTTGGATCTTCAAACAATTGAAGTTGATGAAATCTGCTGCTGATAGTTATGAATATAATTTAACTGACTATTAAAACAATCAATAAACTTGATTAGCTTAAGTTTAAGGAAGATATTTAGAATATTTAGATGGGACCTAAATCCATCAGTTATTTTTATGTTTTGTTCAACTGAGATGTACACATCAATCTAGATGGATTACTGAAATCTTATTGATTTCAGTAATTGAATATTATAAATGAATATAATCCAATGCCTAAATGTGATAAATGGAAGCTTTCCAGATCACAGTAATAGACTGGGCAGAAAACATTTTATGACCCACAGTGTTTCATTGAAATACTACCATCATATTACTTAGTTCATTTTTCTACTTCAGTTTGATGCTCTTATTTAATTCATGTCAATATTTGATGCCAATTTCTCTCATTTTAAACATAACCTCTCCCTACAAGGCATCCAGAAGCTTATTGAAGAGTAAATTTTAGAACTGCCAAATCTGGACGATCAAGATATAAAATAAAATTCTGAATGATCAAAAGATGAGATAGAGCACTAATTTTTTTGCTACCATATATATTGATTACGTGGATTTGTGCAACCCATATATAACAGGCAACTCTAACAAATTCTAGAGGAGTAGCTATATTAATTTTATATAAGAGAAAGGAAAAAAAATAGCTTGTAGCATGGTGGTTTTTTTTGGTAGTATAGACTTCTTCATCGGGGTCTTAGTTGAAGTTGTGGATAAAATTGAATCTTGGAGATGGAGTTTAATTCACAAAAGGGAGGATTATATATTTAAATATACAGAGTAAGCAACAGTAAACAATTTTAAACAATTGTTTAAAGCTTAGCATGAAATGTGAACTCTGCCATGGTGATTTCTAAAGCATGGTTCATGCCTTATGTGTGAACCAATGTTTTGTTCTGTGAAATACTGTTAAAACTGTGCCTTACGTGTGCATGATGTGTGAATCCAACAGTGGAACTTACTTCTGAGTAATCATACAAAACTTGTGTTTTAAGTCTTTATTGAATCATAAAAATACTCTCTTTTTCTTCTGATATAAGGAGCATTTATCTAGTCTGAGATGGGTATATAAGAGTTCTTTTTAAAGTTCCCTAAAGGTATATGGCATTAACAATTTCTTTTAACAGAACAAATCATTCCGAGATTAAAAGAAGACTGACATGCATTCTTATTTTATGGATTTCAAGTTTCACAAAGAAAAGAATGACAAAAAAGAGAATTTATTACTTTTATTTCCACCCCCAACTGGCTGTTGTGGTTGTCTTACTATTTCCTCTCTGCATCAACAGTTACTAATTTTAGTTTCTAGAGGTATTGAGGTACCGGCATTTCCATTTCTAGGAAGCCATTCATATTTTTGAGAATTTTTGAAGATGTCTTGTTCTAAGGGGAACGATATCTCCAGGCTAATGTTAAAATGGCATTTAACACATTTTAGAGTTCTCAAAATGAGCTCCTTCATCAATACCTAGCTTTCTTTTAAAAGACAGTGAAGCCTGGGTCAGATACTACAACACCATATATAGGAAAGAGTTCTCCTGCATCATATAAATGCCTATGTAACCCAGCATGTTGCTTTTCCAAATGATTAACTTCCAAAGGGAAGCCAACACATAGAAGTATCTCGACTGTTGTATCCAGGAACTGGTATTCAGTGCTCTTAACCTCAAAATCTAGAAATAGCAATTGTATCTAGTAGCCCTCCACCAATATGTCCTCAATCAATCTGCCTAATTTTCTTTTAAAGCCCTCTAGGTCGATAGCCATCATGACATTCTGAAAACGTTCATTCATAATCCAGCTATGCTTCATGTGTTTTGCTCTTTTACTGTTCCATATCCCTCAACATTCATGGGATTTTGTATTATAGGACAAAATAACATCATCATCTCTGTCCATTTTCTCTACATCATAACTGTCTATAATCCTAAAATGCCTCTTAGAAACTATTATTTTTTCTAACTTGGACAGTGAATTTTCCCAGTCTCCTTTCCTCCAACCTTTTGAGATATTCAGTACAATGTTTGCACTATTTCATCTTAAATCGTATTTTGTCTAGATTCCATTTCAAATTGTATTTTATCAAGTACCATTTTAAATAGTGTTTTATCAAATTTCATTTTCAATTGCTTTTATTAAATTTTGGTAACCAATTGTTGCTGGAACTTTGCACTTTGATATGGCCCAAGGGCTAATCAATAAAGAATTATTATTATTATTATTATTATTATTATTATTATTATTATTATTATTATTATTATTA